GGGGCCCTCTGGCATCCCAAGCCAGTTCTTAACCATCGCGCCACTCGGCCGGCCCGGACCTTAGTTTTAAGGGAAAGGTATTCTGAGAAAAATTCCATTTTGCTATCCACAGTAGCCAGTGTCTCCCTAATTTTGCTAGGTGGTATCTTCCAGGAAAAAAGTGATACGAATGCCTTCCTTAAAACCCGTTAGTTTTCCCAATGGCCAGATAAGCCTCCTGACGATTATCCTCACACAAAGAAGATGCTATAATTTGCACTTCCTCAGAACCTACTGGGGGAAAGACAGCATCTTTCAAAGTCAGGGGTGGAGCGACGAGAGAATCAACCCTTTCAAAATCAGCCATTTTGTCGCTCTGTGAAGCATGACACAAGGATGTGCCTTTCACTTGGACCAGCTGCAGCTACTTCAGCTTTACAGTGCTGTCACTTAGAGTAGGGCTCTCATCTGGAAATCAGTTCTTCCTATCCCTGCTCATTCACTGAGTGATTTTTGTCAAGGTGCTTAGTATCTTTGGACCAGTTTCATCAGCTATAAAATGAGGGGCAAAACTAGAATTAAGCCAAAGTTGAAAAAGGACAATTTCCAAAATATTATGGTTTCCCACATACTTCAATGACTCTTGGAAGTTATCTCTCTCAAGGGTAGATTGCCTCACTCTTAAGTCCTTATAATAAGTCCAGCATAAGACGGTATGGTCAGAGAACTATAGCTGTATCCCATAATATGAAGAGAAAAGTTTGCTTTCATTGTACGTAGAATCTCTCCCTCCATATTAAAAAAAAACCCATATTCGATATAAATAAAAGGTCAGAGGTGAATGGACTCTGCCTTAAGTAAGTTTTGAACACAGATGCCATCTCGTCCTTGCATTCTGCAAAATTCTTCTTTAAGTGAATAAATGTGTAAGGTAACTCTCCGTTACCTTGATCAGCATCTAATACCAACCTGACACTTAGAATTAAATTAGAGAAACAAAATTGGATACTTTGAGACTTGAGGGCTGATTATACTACTAGAGCTGAGAGTGGGTTTAAACTCTTTCCTTATCCCATTTAAATCTAACTAGATATAAACTCTCCATTACCGAGGAATAGAGGTGTGTCTGCAGAGGTGGGGGTCCCCCTTGATGTTCCTGGACAAGGAAACCTAATCCTTTCTTCTGACACACATGGTTGCAATAGAGCATTCCCCCACTGCCAGTCTGGTTTTAATCTATTGTTTAAAGCAGGACAGGATTTGCAGGGAATGTTAAGAAAGGAGCAAAATTACCAAAACTTACTATAAAATAAAAGTGTTGATGAGCAACTAACTTTTAAACAAGTGTTCAAAATGGTAAGCCTGAACATATCGTATGGTCCATACCATGCGTGCTGTTAAGTGCGTGACTATAAAGGTTTTTAATTGTAAGTTTCTCTAAGGTCTGCTTTCCATACAACACTTATATCTCATTTTACTAAAATTCTTTGGCTTCCCAAATGATAGCAATAAATATAGTGGTGCTTCATTTAAACACCACCATTGGACAATGAAATATTCCCTAAGTGAACTTCCTGTGTGACCAAACTCACCCTGCATTATACAAACTTTTAAAATGTTAACCATTTGCGTGGAGACGTTTCCAAAGTGCATTATACAGTTTTTCTTTAAAAGATTAACTATATTTTCCTGAAGATTCAGGATTAACGTTTAGAATCCTTATTAAAATAGGCTGAGTATACTGTACTTCTTAGAAGAGCACCAGATGGTGAGCTTAGATGATGGTGATACTTTCCCTGACACCAAAACGTTTCAGAACACTGTTTTAAAATAGCACAAAAGCAGACGAAGCTAGCTTGCTTTTAATAGGCCTGGTGTCTTTTCTGCTGTCAGCTGTCCCTTTTGGCTGTTACAAGCATATCAACCTGTGACAATTAGTCATGTACTTTGTCAAAATAAAATTTAGATTTAGAAGATACGCCTACTGCATGCATGGAACTATACTATGGGCACAGGGAAATGTAAGAAATACAAAATATAGTTCTTGTCCAAGGGGCAACCTCACTGGCTGAATGACACTCAAGAGTCACCAGGTGGGGACGGCTGGTTAGCTCAGTTGGTGAGAGCACAGCGCTCATAATAGCAAGGTTGCCAGTTCGATCCCCACATGGGCTACTGAGTTGTGCCCTCCACAACTAGATTGAAAACAACTACTTGACTTGGAGCTGATGGGTCCTGGAAAAACAACACTGTTCCCCAATAAAATTTTTTAAAAAAAAGCCACCAGGTCACCACTCTGGTGGGTAACATAATTTATTACTAAGTGTGAAAGTAATTTACTTTGAAAAAATACAGATATTGAAGTGATGACACACTTGTGTTCTGATATACCTCCTTTAATGGGAGTATGTCTCCGGTGAAAATATTATCGGTCATGTGAGTCCTGGCAGATAAAATAACTAAAATTACTGCTTGAGGGAATAAAGTGGGCAGGCCCTTTGACAGCTTTCTGCTGTAACCTCATCTTATTTCTAGGCTTCATCTTACAATCCTGATGGCTTAGTATGTCATAAATCTAATCTTACTAATTCCGAAGGTCACTGAATCTAATTAATAACATACCTGCAAAAGGAACTGTATTTTAATGCTTTGCTGTATGACTATACAGCATTGAGGCATTTATAATACTGCGTATTTACAAGGATACTGTGCATTGTTATAAAGATCAATCATCACTTCCACTGGCAAAATCTCATTCCTGGGTTTTAGTATTACATTTGGGGTTTTTAAAGCATGTTTTGATGACTCTTTTTAATTTCTATCATCCAACCATTCACTTTTATTCCACAAACGCTACCTGGCAGTCTCAGACTTCTCTGGTTTCAATTCTCATCTGTTTTATAGTTCAGAACCTCTCCTGAGCTCCTGGCCTATCTAATGGGTGTCATATTTGGGAGCACTATAAGCACCTCAAATTTAACAGAGACAAAACCAAATTAATCAGTTTTGTTGAAGAATGAGACTTGATTTCCTTAGTTGCTTTTTTTTTTGCAGTCATCGCTACAACTCCTTCCTTGCTTATTTCTATATATACCAATTATGCTTGAACTTCACCAGTACTCTGCACCACTGTTGAGATTTTAATGTATAGTTTTAAGTTATAAATTTTAACTTAACCTGTTAAGAGTTCAGTTCCTTTAAGAGTATGGGCATCCTTATTCCCCTTATCTCCTACTTCTTCCTATGGAAATGTGGTAATTCTCAGTATTTGCTCAATAGATAAATACAACAAAACATATAAAGGAATTCTGACAAACCTCTGTTATACTTTTACCGATACCTATCTTATCTATCTGGGAGCTTTATGGGTGCATTAACAGATGCAAAGAGCAGTGTGTTAACTCTACTCCATTAATTTCACCCAAAACACAGAACAATTCTTCTATCGGGTATCCCCCGTTTCTGAGGCCTTCCCTGGACCAGGCTGAAATACCACAATCCTAAGAACCCTTCCTCTCCAATCGGGGTGTTTGCTTCTATTAACACTTAAAACGGTGCATCATTTATCTGCTACCCCACGAAGCCGTACACTTCTTGAAGGCAAGATGTCTTTCTTTGCACCTTCAGTACCTAGCAGACGGTAGGGTTCAACAAACGTCTGCAAATCAGATGAACTGAGGCCATATAGGTCTCAAAAGACCACTTACTGCTTTCTAAAAGGACTGGGAAGTCCCCATTCGTAGAGAAACTTCTTAAAAGCTGACTCTGGATGGCTAGGATCCGAAAGGCAATTCACTTCACCGGTCTAAAACGCCGCTACTAATATCCCCGAAGGAGCCTCTTCTTCTAGGAAGCCTGAGCAAAGACAAGGTCCAGGGGAAACACTAAAGTCAAGCCCCACCCCGTTCCTGTCCCCACCTGCTCTGCAAAGACCGGACTCGCCCCACGCAGCTGCACAGCGGCCGGCGCCCGAGAGCATGGGCGCAGGCGCAGCAAGCTAAAGAGCAGCGAATCTGGGATCGGCTCTCTGAGCAGATGTCACTCAAGACAGGAAGGCTCCGCCCTTCTCAAGATGGCGCTATGCTCAATGCGGAAGGCGCGTGGGTGCTGGAGATTCATCCGGGCACTTCATACAGGACCCGAAGCTGTTCCCGCTCCCCAGGTAACCAAAGCGGACCCTTCTCTTGCCGGTTTTCATCCCGCTACGTCCTTCCCGTCCCCCCTCCCTCCCTGCATTTGCTTCGCTCTTCCCGTTTTCTCCGGAGAGCACCCAGCTGTTCCTCTCCTAAAGCTGACTCGCTTAAGACTGTCCTGTTACTATAGAGCGTGGCGACGTTGCAAAGGTGCGTGATGACGTCACGCGTCCCTGTGGGAGGAGCGCACCGCCGTCTGCCCATTAGTACTGCCCGCAGTCTTACGGTCTTGTTAGCTGTGTCCCTGTCCCTTCCCGTGCTGCGAGCCTGGGGTGCCAGCGAAACAATGAGAGACGTCTTGTTTGGAGTTGAGAGGTTTAAGTTTGTGCAGCCTCTTGATGTCCTCCCTCGGGCAGTGCGGTACTTGAGGAAGTGTCAGTGCGTCTTTCACTTTGGTTCCTCCTCGTTGACCCAGAGTAAATCTAGCAGGCTCCGGGAAGGAATTACATACAGCAAGCTACCCAAGCGCATCGTCCTGGCCTGCGCCCGCTAGCACCGCTGTTACCATTGCTCTATCATGCTGAGAGCATGACACGGCCTTCAACTTGTCAGTGTTTGGAATTTTAGCGCCCTATCAAAAGAAAAAAATATATATGTTTATATATATTCCCCCTTTCCCTTATTCAGACATTTACTTCACTCATTGACTCAACGCCTTCCAAGTGCAATCTCATTGGTAGGCACTTTGCCATACGTCTTCTGGGAGATGCCCTCCAGGAACTAGGGAGAAACTTGAGATTCTGTGATTATGAGGTGATTTCTTGGCATCCTTGTACATTCATGGTTGTAATGCGTAGGTGTGAGGATTTTGAACGGTAACTGGTGATTGGAAAGAGCACTAGACTGGAAGTTAGGAAAACAGAGGTCAAGGGTTTGTCAGCCACTTGCTAGCTGTGTGACATGACAAGTCACTTGATCTCACGTGGTTTATTCTCTTTAGCAACATGGGTGGAGGAAGGGTTGGACTGATGGACACATTCGTGTTCCTTCAAGCTTTGGAAAATCTGTGGCTCCATGATTAAGAAGCCAAAGTACAGCACAGCAGTGAGAGTGATTATGAAAACCAAGATTTAAGCCCAACTTGCTTTTCTAATCATCCCATCAATCACTTTCTCTACTTAAGTTTTCTTCATGGATAGAAGCCTCAAAAGATTCTTGTAAGGATAAAGGATATTCTACTGCAAAGCTCTTTGTCAACAAAACAGCTATTTAAATGTTCTTTTCAATTGCAGACATGCAACATTAGGTAAGAATTGATTCAAAATTAGATAAATCCATCAAGTACTTCTCCCTTGGAAATTTGAGGGTTTGATTCTGCAGAACCAGAATTGGTTGATTACTATATTTATAGCTAATAGTAGCATATTAAAACCTATGGTACCAAAGTTACTAAGCCTTAGACCCAACTTCCTCTCATTCCAAACTCAAGAGTTGAGGATGTCATGAGAAATGAAGACTCAAAGAGAAAAAAAAAAAAACCACAAACAAACTAGAGCCCACTAACCATTGCCCAGAGAGATTAAGGGGACTAAATCATTATAAATGCTAAGGAAAAAAATTCTTAAACCTCTACTCTTGTTTCAGTGGTATTTATGAATAGGGTTATGTTAAAGTGAATCAACTGTTAATCTAGAGTGTTTCAAGATGTAGAAGAAGGTGTTTCCAGAACAGATTAGTGTTTCAAAACCTTTGATTTAGCTTTGAGTAGAATAGGAATTAAATTTAAGTGAGAACATCTTTTTAATGTATAAATCTACATACAATTTTCAGCCATTAGAAATGATAGTTTGAAGGACTCATGCCGTCTTTTGAAAGACCAACTGAGAAAAGATACAAAATTGCATTAATAGTGTAACTCAATATTATATTTGTAAATAAATATTTACATAAATACATGCACAGAAGAAAGACTGGAAGGAAACAACCATTCTTAACTTTTTTTTGTTTTGCTTTGGTCTTCTAAAATAGTAGATTAAAAAATGACTTAAGTTTTCTTCTTTAAGCTTTCCATATTTTTCACATGTTCTAAATTGAAGATACATCACTTTTAGGCCTAGAATAAAGTTTTAAAGCGTAAATCTCTGTATAAATGCCCAGTCATTAATATCATCTGTGATATTTTAGGCCTCTGAGATACTTGTCCCACAGTGCTATTATTAAAATGGCCTTAGAAAAGGACTACTAAAAATTTATGGCCACTTTTCCTGTATCTTCTTTTTCTCTTGAAAAGCTTCCTTTGAAGTCAAAGAGATTTTGTGAACAGATGCAGAAATATGTGAAGGAAGAATTGGATTCTTAAACCAGATGCATTAGACATTTTTATGATATCTCATAACCTTTGTAGAAAACAAAAATTATTTTGCAAGAGTATAGTGTAATAGAAAGAAATGTAGATTTATCATATGAATGATTCTATTGATTCTATCTCAAACTAAGGCATAGCCAAGTTGCTCGTTATTAGTTTTGTCTACGAAGTTACTCCCTGAGGTGAGAAGCAAAAGTGGAGGACCCAAAGCTCCCTGTTGGAAATTGTGACTGCTAGTGTACTGTGATTCCTAGGTTGTTTTGATGTTTTCTTAAAAATGCAAAATCTTGGGTAATAAACTTGGCATTGACCACCTTTAGTTATCTCAGAGGGAGGCTTGTAAAGGCTAAATGTAGACCCAAGTTTAAAATTTAAAAAAAATAGGGAGAAAACAGAAATAACTGTATCAAGCAGTACTCATTTTGAGATGCCTACAATTTACATGAAAGCGGTTTATTTTGCCAGGTGTTGCCTGACAGAAAACTGTTGAAGCCTGACAAGATGAGGGTAGCCCCGGAGTCAGAATGAAGATCTGACAGGTTATGTTTAAATGCTGATGGCATTAGGTAAATAAAAGCCTGTCATCATTAGTCAAACACAGAACCCATTCTTTTTGAAACACTAATTTATGGTTTTATTTTGCAAAGGGTGAAATATGGATGGTTAGTAGCGTTCTGCGACAAGGTTTATAATCACTCAGTGGAAGTATACAACGTCCCCATTTTATCGCACTTGAACAACACACTTCATTTTGAGTTGTCCCAACCTGGGCTGGCCAGTATTAACCCGCTGTTCTTACTGTGAATGGCCACTAAGTGTAGCCATTAGAGGAAAGAATCATACCTGCCCCAAAATAGGCAATGTATTACAGTGTTGATCTTGTGTTTAGTTCTTACAACAAGGCTTTTAAAAAATTGCTCTCTTTTAACTTTTTTAAAAATAATTTTACATTTACAAAGTTGCAAAATTTGTACAGAGTATTCCTGTATACCTTTCACCAAGCTTCCTCTTACATAATCATAATCCAATGATCAAAGCCAAGAGATTAACTTGGTACAATACTAGCTACGGACCTAGTTCAGATTTGACCGGGTTTTCCACTAGTCCCTTCCTGGGCCAGGATCAAATCCAGGATGCCATTTGGTTTTCATCTCTCCTTCAATCTATAGCACTGCCTCGGTCTTTCACGACCTTGGCACTTTTGAAAAGAATCAGTCAATTATTTTGTAGACTGTCTCTCAGTTTCGGTTTGTCTGATTGTTTCTCATGATTAGACTGGGTTGTGAATTTTGGCAAGAATACCTCAGAAGAGATATTATTCATAATAAGGCTCAAGGGCAGGTCTTAGCACCTTATTTTAAATCACGAGGAACTTGCCTAATGGCACAAAACTAAATAATTGTGGAGTTAGGATGCTAAAATTTACTAGTGGGATTTCGTTTCATATTTTGCAATTTGTATTTGTTACTGTAGGTTTCTGTGATCTTAATGACATTAAAATGGGGTACTATTTGTTCCCAGTCACTTTTCTGTACATTTTTCCTCTGCCATGTATTTTCCATCCAACGTGCAACATGACCTAATCAGCCTGGAGAGTTATCAGGAGCTGCTGTAGCCATCTGGGTATTTTGCTAGATTGTAACCATCAGTTTGATAAGGTTACTTCATCTCTCTCCTTTCCTTGAGTGATAAGTAAGGTTGTTGTGTGGATCCACTGTGAAGCCCCTTCGATTATTGTTACTATTTTGCATTAAACATACATTTATTTTTATTATTTTTTTTTCAAAGATTTTATTGGGGAATTGAGAAGGGGAACAGTGTTGGGAAATTGGGGAAGGGGAGCACTGTGTTTTTCCCAGGACCCATCAGCTCCAAGTCAAGTTGCAGTCCTTCAATCTTAGTTGTAGAGGGCGCAAGCTTAGCTCCAAGTCATCACCGCTTTCAACCTAATTGCGCGCGCGCGTGCGTGTGTGTGTGTGTGTGTGTGTGTGTGTGCGTGTGTAGGGCACAGCCCACCTTCCCATGCAGGAATCGAACTGGCAACCTTGTTGTTAAGAGCACACACTCTAACCAACTGAGCCATCCGGCCTCCCGTCAGCAGCTCGCAGCTGCTCAGCTCAAGGTGCTGTGTTCAATCTTAGTTGGGGGTGGGTCGCGTGCAGCCCACCATCCCATGTAGGAATCAAACCGGTAAACTTGTTGCTCAGAGCTCACACTCTAACCAACTGAGCCACCTGGCCGGCCCTACATTTATTTTTAAATGATGTATTTTTCTAAATCTAAAGCTCCTTTTAAGCTCAGTCTATGAGTCCATTTGCTTAAAATGCTTTTTAGGTTGGTTTTCCTTGCAAACTGACTTAGCTAATAAGAAATAATTGTCCTTAAATTTTTTTTTTAATGTTTTGGGGTTTTTTTTGTTTTTTGTTTAAAGATTTTTTAAAAATTTTTTTTTATTGGGGAATTGGGGGGATGGGAACAGACAAGTTGCTGTCCTTTTGTTATTCAGTCTAGTTGTGGAGGACATTGCTTCACTGGCCCAAGTTGGCACCATCATTGCGCTTTTCCCAGGCGAGGCAGATCAGTCGCTGGCTTCTGGACGGCCGCTCACTGCGGCTACTGGCCACTCACGCTGGCTGCTGGCTACACACAGTAGCCAATGGCAAC